AAAAATTCACCATTGCATAAATTAAAAAGCCAAAATGTGCTTTTTACTGTTTTGTCTTGCTTTTCAAAGAAAAAAAATCAATTACATAATTTGCATAAAAAAAATCAATTGCATAATAAAAAGTGCGCGCCTCTCACTCTGCGCTGGTTGCTATTTGATCGCGTCATATCATTGTTCAGTACAATTTATTCGGTCTTTTCGCTTATTCGGTTCGGTTGCCGAACATTCGGTGCATCCCTAAATATAAATTCACGTCTCGCGCACTTTAATGCCCTTTGAGGAGCCCTCTCGAACGCCACCCTCTGCGCATCGGTAGCCCCCCGGGATCACTTGATCGTTCGGCGCGGGACCGCGAATTTAACCACCCGTAACTCCCGAACCCCGGGGGCTATCGACGCGGGGGTGGTCTCATTCGAAAGCGGGCCTCTAGACGTACACTCGATTCACGTTCGAGAGGGTTCCTCGAGCTGAAGGGATCCCCCGAATTTGGTGCGGATTCGCCGCGCCGTTACGGAGATATGGCCGTTCAAAGTTTCAATGGTTTTCCATAGACTTAAGCTTTAAAGCATTTCATTCAGGTCGCCAGTAGCAAACAATGGAGAAACTAACTCTGCTGGACAAACTAAGTAATTACACCATTTCAAGCATTTTATCTGCGTTATATGTTCAAAGTTTCATATCGGCGGCATATTCGCCGATACTGATATATCGGCGACAGGCTCATATCGGCCGCTAATATCGGCAAAACTATATATCGGTCGGGCTCTATACATTTCACTAATACCTCTACCAATCTCTGTATGAAAATAAACACTTTTCTGAACATCCACCTTAGAATTTTTGGTTTTCATCATCTTTTTCATCTCTCTTGTTAGTTTCAACAATTCAGTGTCACGTCTATGATTAAACATATTGCTATACCAAATTTCAATAAAATAAAAATGAATTTTTAGAGCAATGTAGTGTGTTCCAATGTAGGCATGGGCCGGTATGAGATTTTGACGGTATGATAATCTTAAGCAAATATATCACGGATTCACGGTATCACAGTATTGTCGTTACAGCTCTAAAATGTGTTATTTTTAAATGACTGGGTTATTTTGATTTGCTGCTAGAGCTACTGCTGCCCTAAAAAAAAAGAAAAATAAAGACTGACATCTTTATTTTAACTTAAATCTGTAATTACACAGTTATTTAATTTTAGTTATATGATTCATATACATGAAGCAGATTCACTCTCTGACAGCAGGAGGCGCTGATACAGCATTTCCTTGGTTATCGCAGTAAACAAAGCAGAGCTGCGTATAATGTGAATTATACGAGATGAAAAGAAAATACCATCTAAACGTTTCTGAAGACAGTCAGTTCCCCTCAGAAACACATTCATATAAACCCCCAAATCAATATTTAGGATTTTCTTCCAATAGTTCGTGCATCATGAACAGTGAGTGATCTGCCTGCTACAGTATTTTTCTCGGTGCGTCCGTCTTCAACGTCTATGGCCTGTGTTAATGGGCGTTTACAGACTTCATATTTTCACATAAATGACATTTGGAAAATGATATGCATTGCAACGCAGTTTGTGCAAGTCCAGAACAGAGATCGGCTGCAATAAAACAATAAACGGCCGGAGTAATAATAAATATATTACACCAGAGACAGTAATATATTGGATCACTGTTACACCACAATAAAGAATGCATATCACTCTGTTCCACGGGCAGCTTTGGGGCTCTCTGATCACTGTTTAGTTCATCTAATACCGACCTACAGGCAGAAACTGAAATCAGCTAAACCTGTATTAAGGACCGTAAAAAGATGGACTAATGAAGCAGAGCAGGATTTACAACCAACAGGAGGGGGAGGGGGCGTGTTACTCTCTAACACGGCACTCAACCGGAGGGATTCCTACACTTTCAGTATTTGAGGAGACATGAAAAACAGTGCATACCACAGGAACGGTATAACGGAAAATATTAGCGGTTTTGAAACAGTGAAATTTTCAAATTGCGGTATACCTTGAAACCGGCAATCGGCCCATGCCTATTCCAATGTATTAGAAAGTAACTCCTTAAAAACTCTTCAAATTTCAATTCTATTTTTAACCAGAAAATCAGGGGAGAGCGCGAACGCAGTCCCCCACTACCAGAAATTATGCAGTCGAGATTCCCACATTTGGGGAATTCGCAGGGGTCAGCACAACCGGAGTGCAATGGCTGAGCCTCGCCCTGGGTGAACCACCTTCTTGATCATGGTATCTCCCCTGCCAGGTAAGTATGAATTCTACACTGACCCTGAAGGGGGAGCACTTAAGGGAACATTATTTTCAGTGATGATGAGACGTTACTTCACTCCATATGGTTCATCATCACGATCTAAACTCTCAATCTACTCTAAACTCTAGATCTTGTAAACCACTGGTCCTTAAGTTTTTACAGTAGTACAAAGACTACAGTGATAATTGACAACTACATTCAGACAGTTGGGCCTTCTGATGAAATGCTGCTCACTGCAGAGCAAATGGGTGGAGCTTACGTGTAGCTCCCCCTCGCTAGACGTCTTGTGAGGAGCAAATATAATTTGTTCCTAATGGGTGGAGGTAGAATATTCACCCGCACCCTAACCCTACCCACAACTCTATCCTTCCACCCCATTAGATGTCCAGAGAGGTGGAGCTGGAATTCATGCTACTCTGCAGTTAGTACCACTTGCTTCTGATTGGCCACAGTGCCTGTAGGTCTCTCCACCAATCATGTAGAAGATTGACTGAACTACCAATCAGACAAGAGATGCTCCAAGCTCTAATTTTGTCTGCTCATTGACACCATCACAAACATCATATTTTTCAGAATTTTACAGGAATATTATACAGGATTATATAACTAGAATGACAAGAAAGTGTACAATGTAGGATATAAGAGAGAAACCAAATGTAACAATACTAAAAATGTTTAGACATATCTGAATTTTCTGTGAGATTGGCAGATGGTTAAATACAGCTACTAGCTTGGTAGGCATTAGATGGTTCCCTCAAATACAGTCCAAAAAATGCATAAAATGAATGTCATGACAACCCTCAGACTGACTAGTTTTATTAAATAGGCCTACATTTATTAAAACATGGAAAAACTTTATAACAGTCACAAGCCTGTTATAGGATTGTGGAGAATGTAGTGCTATTCTCTTCCTTACCACGTGGGGCAATAGAGTGTAGTATTTTCGGTTTAAGGCATGCTATGTTGTAGAAGAAGACAGTACGACATAGAGCAGTGGTTCTCAACCCGCGGCCCGTGGGCCGCATGCGGCCCGTCACGAATTCAAATGCGGCCCACCATGCTGAACACAAAAGCAATTGCAATTTTTAGGGATATGGTTTGATGAAAGAGTTACATGGGCGGTGCATATTCAGAATATAGTGAACAAATGTAAGAAAATAATAAATACAATGAGGTGTTTAGTTGGAAGTGAATGGGGGGCAGATAGGATGGCATTAAAGGCCATGTATAGTGGATTGGTTAGATCTTTGTTAGGTTATGGTTGTGTGGTGTATGGATCAGCAGCAGAAACATCTCTTAGAAAGTTAGATAATATACAGCATCAGGTATTGAGATTATGTACAGGAGCTATAAAAACTACACCAATTACAGCACTACAGGTTGAAATGGGGGAAATGTCATTAGAAATGAGAAGGGTACAGTTATCAGTGAATTATTGGGTTAATTTACAAGGCCATAGTCAAGAGCATCCAACACTAGGTACTTTAAAGCCCTGTTGGGAAAAAGAGAGGAGGAAAATTAAAAGTTTTGGATGGACCGTGATACAGAAAGCAACAGAACTTGAAGTTAATCAGTTAAATGTTAGTCCAACTGTACCGCTACCTGTAATAAAACCTTGGTTACTTTCAGATGCTACAGTAGATTTTACATTGTTAGAACAGAAAAATAAGGGTAAGGAATGTAATTTATATAATGTGCAGACATATATTAATGAGTACTACAGCTATGTTCAGATCTACACAGATGCATCAAAGAGTTTAGACAATAAGGTAGGAGTAGCGTTTACTGTTCCAGAATTTCATTTATCAGTAAGGAAAAGGATCAGTGATGAGTTATCAGTTTATACAGGGGAAATGATTGCACTATTATTAGCAATACAGTGGATAGAATAGGTAAGACCTTTGAAATCAATTATTTGTTCAGATTCATGTTCATCATTGGCTAGTTTACAGTACAGTCACTCAGAAAGTAGACCAGACATTTTAATGGAAATAATGCAAACGTTATATAGAATTCAAATGATGGGGAGTACAGTGGTATTTGTATGGGTGCTGGCGCATATTGGTATCTAAGGAAATGAAACCGCAGATGAAGCAAAAGAAGCAGTTATAAACAACTATATTAACTTAATTGTTAATCTAAGTAAGAGTGAAATCAAGAGTATTATTAAGAAAAGACTGAAGGAAAGGTGGCAAAAACAATGGGATAAGGAGAAAAAAGGTCGGTGGTTTTACAGAATTCAAAGGAAAGTGGGAGAGATGAGAAGTGCAGGGAAAAACAGGAGAGATGAGATAGTAATATCGAGGATGAGATTTGGACAAACAAGATTAAATAGTACACTTTTTAAAATGGGTAAACATGATACGGGAAGGTGTGAATTTTGTGGACAAGAAGAAACAGTGGAACATGTTATATTGTACTGTCAGAAATATGAGACTGAAAGAAGGATTCTAATGCAAAATTGAGAAAAGATAAAAATGCAATTTACACCAAGATATATTTTACAAAATAACTCAAGGAATGAATGCTACAGTTTTATTTTTCAGTTCCTTAAAATAACTAATTTGTGGGAGAGAATTTAAAATAAAAATATATAAAAAAAGGGGGAAGGAAGTAAGTTACTTTTTTGATCCACACTCCATTCCAGTTGGTGGCGGAAATACACCATTTTGTTGTTTGTCAACCGCCAATAAAATTTCAAGACGACGACGACGACAGTACAACCTGCAGTGGCTGAAACATGGCCTTGCCCATGTGCTCAGACTCGTCTTTGTTGAGAAACTTGTGTTTTATGCTCAACTGAAAGTAAGTGAATCTGTTTGGTATGAAATGTGTGTTTAATTAATGTCTTACACAGGAAGTGTTATTTGAAAATTGAGTATGATGTCTTTTTGACTTTTGTAGAAGGTCTTTTTTCTCTGGAGAATTATGGTGCTTGATATGAAGACTGTGGAGGAAGTTTAAATAATGTCCTTTTGTTCACAAAGATCTTCATTTCATCGTTTACCCGTCGTCCTTGTACGGGACTTCCAATTTTCCATGAACTTTGGTATTGATTACTACAGGCACATGGATTAAAGGTGGCAGCTGTTTTGGACTCTTTGGCACAAGGAATGGAATTCAGATAAGACTTTATTCCCTCTCTCATTCTTAACTCATCATCCATGGACAGTGACATGATTTGGATTCTACCTTTAAGTGTGCTTTTGTGTGTTTGTTTCTGGTGTGATTTGGGGAGTTGTTTCAAATTTTCTTACTGAATATAAAAGACTGGTTTTGCATTGAATAAGTGACTCTTGATTAATGCCTTGTTGGGATAAACTATTTTAATGTGATAGGTTACCTTAAAAAATTGTATAGCAGTTTTTTTGGGCTTAGTTAGGCCTGAGACTTATAACGTGACTTTTACTATGGTTTATCATGCATGCAGATTATATTTTAAGTTAAGCTAAAATCAGTGAATTCATAAGACTGGTACAGTGCCTATCAGAGGATCTGTCTATGAGCAGATATATTAGGGATCTGCTGATAGACGCGGCTTTCAAATGCTCCCGTGTGTATCTGTGTAAGCAGGGCTGGGCAATATGACAAATCTTATATCACGATATGAGTAATTTTATTTCACGATAATATATATCAAGTTATTTTTGCTTCATATAAGGTCAATGATATCAAAATGTTTGATACCATAGAATAATCAATTATCGTCACCAGTGTCAATATCACAAACAACTAATGCTAGCCTAAAAAATTAAAAATAAAAAACAACTCACTGAAGACAAGTAAACAGTCAGCAATTAAATAAGCATTAGAAACTAATTACAGGCAATGACGACAAAAAACTACAGTAGAACAATTAAATAAGAAATCAGGGCTCACAAAATCGCTAGCCCGACGTCCCGGGGCTATTGTGTTTTCCAGTCGGGCTACCAAAATGTATCACTGCCCTGCCCGAAGGCACTTAAAAATGTATGTCACCATGTTTAGTACATTCCACTTGCACCTGTGTCTTTTGCAGCTTCTTGAACATAACGTGGTGTAGTAATGAGGTGCTAGTTCAAATTTAAAAAAATGATTCTACAAACCAAGTTTCATCTGCAGATATGGTCTTGTTTAGGGATCTGTGCCTTTGTGCATACGGACATCTGACTGCTAAGTAGGGATTTTAAGGTATCTAATATTTTTATACTTAATTTCCATGATCTAAATATTCTTAAAAATTAAAAGTTTGTCATTTGGAAGTGTGTGGCCTTCTTGCATTATTATGCTGTTACATTATGATTATATATTCAGTGACATAAAATGGTCTTTAAAATAACAATAATATCGCTTATCGCAATTATTTCTGGGGTAATATATCGCACAACAAAAAGTTGTTATCGTCACAGGCCTATATGCTACTAGTTTTTGCTGTGGTATCGAAGTAGTAAATTGATCTTTAAATAATAAGTGTTACTTAATAAAGAACCATATTTTTTTTGCTCATCTGAAAAATGATGCGATCTGTGACTCAAAATGTGATATGATAATGTAATATAATCCGAACCGTGAGATTTTTGATCTGTTGCACCCCTACTCTCTTGACTTGTTATTTGAAGAAAAATACAACATCTTTTATTCAGGCTAGTTAAATTCATTTGGGGCTACCAAAATCTGAAGAATGCCTGCCCGAAGGGCTACCAGGGATTTTGAAATTTTGCGAGCCCTGGAAATGCTACATTGTGTAAAGTCATCAAATGTATAAGAAGACTGCATATTCTTCTGTGTAAATAAAATATATATTTCTTCTTATTAAAGTTACAAAAGTGATATAATCAAGAGCAGTGAGAGATTTTCTTTTTTTCTGTTTGATTAAAATGAATGACAGACAGCGGGAATATTAAGATTGCTGTCACTTTAAGAGCTGCCCGGATCCATTATACTGTTACACATGCTTTTTGTTTTTGTTTTTTTCTCAGCTGTTTACTTTCACTTAAGACCTAAATTACTGTTTACACAAGGTACTGAAGCATTTCTGCATTTTTTTCTGCAAGGGTGGTTTATCAGATTTTTTTTTTTCAGTTTATTTAAACTATCTGGTACCCAAACTGAACAATTAAAATTTTGAGTAAACCACCATTACAATGTGTGTTTCATTTTAAATATCCATAAATGTAAAAAAAAAATGTTTTGCTTGCATAATGGAGTAATTACAGCACCTACCAGCAGGGGCAAACTAGATTAACCAGCCAAACTTTTACCCATTGCTTTTGCACACACATACGCCCAGACAAAAGGTTTGTGACTGAATAATCCCTATTTCTTGCATGCTGATTAAAACAAACAAACATACAAAAAATAAATAAATAAATTAGTGATGTTACGTTCAACATGGAAGCTCCAAAAGCTAAAATTTCACATCGAAGCACTGTATCGGAGCTTGATTCGTTTTGCCAGAAGCACGTGATCTATGACGTCCGAAGCTTTGTTCACCTGAAAACCATGTGACTGCTTCAGTATCTGGTTCAAACGAAGTGAACCTCAGCACCATTTCTAGGACTGTCAAAATGGCTGAAAAACTAAATTCGAATTTTGTTCGAATTTAAAAGGCATAATTTCAGTTAGGGGAAAAAAAGCTCCGTCTCCTGAGGCCACAAGAGGGCGAAATTCGAATTCGATATTCGAAATTTTTTTTGACAGCCCTAGCCGTTTCCTTTACATTATATTACATTATAATGCGCTAGCATTGCTTTTTTAAATCGTAATTTATATATTAAGGTCAAATGAACTTTGCCCATGAAATAATAGTTTAAGTACTGAGGCAGTGTTAAAATACAGAGATCACAGATTTAATTTATGAATTTATGTTTGATTTATTTGACTTATTTTAGTGGCAGTACACCGACACAAATGAATGACTTTGACAATGACCATTATTTATATACAATAAAATAAAACAGAGAATCATTACTACAACCAGATGTGAAACCAGCAGCTGTAATGGAACACAGCACTTTGGAATGTGTTATTCATTTTTATGACCAATATATGGCCACAGCATAATCCGTTTTGAAAAAGCTTCGAGTAATGAACCTTTTTCTGATGTTTTGAAAGCTTTGCTGGTTCGAAATGCTTCACTTCGCCATCACTAAAATAAATAATTAAATAAATAAATAGTAGCCAGCATCACTACTTCACACTTCATAGAGGTTAAACTACAACAATCCATCCCAAACATAATCATATATACTGACCACTAACAGCAATTTTTTACTCAACCAAAAATAAAACAAACTATTTCTTTACACATTTACTACTATCACGCATAAACAAAACTTTTTTTTAACCATTTTAGGGGGGGTGCACCGTTCCCGGAAGTACTGCAATACCGGGTCGATGCGTGGAGTGGACGGAGCAAGCCCCTATTCCATCTCCCTGTTCCAAAAATCAATTTAATATATGGTGCCCGGGTAGGGCACGTATCAGATATTAAACTGATAAGAACAGATACTACACTTGATCTTAGCCAAAAGGCCGAGAAGCGATGCCCACAAATGGTCAACAGCAGGAACCACATTCTTTGGCATGGCAAATTTGATGATGGTAAGCTTTTATTTAGTTAATTTTTTAACTCTAATAGTTCTTGTGCAGAATGCAATTGTTAACATAGCTCAGGTAAGGTAAGGCTTAAAGGGTCATGAAACCTCCCCTTATTTGAGCACAGGTCGTTCACACCTTAGACTTGAAAAAGGTTCAAGAAGTGGGCGTACAAAGCTGTGATAAAATGGGAGGGTAATGGGTGGGATGAGGGGAGGAGACAGTATGAGGAGGGGAGGGGTCAAAGCATAACAACACAACTCAGGAGTCCTACAATCACACTCACTACAGACACTAAAGAACAATGAGTGGAGATAAAGACAGAAGAACTGGGGGCACACTGCATTTTAAAAATATGACCATATATGATCAACGTAAAAACCTTAAGCAATATTTACAGCTATCATGAACAAATGAAGCAAGTTTTTAAAATTAGGCCTATACTTTCAAACATCAAATAAGCATTTTGTTATTTTAGGGCAGATATTATATGTATTATGTATATGTATTATCACAATCAAACATACTGATTAGGCTTGCCGCGATAGACGGTGCTGACGGTGTTAAGCCGCAACACCGGTTATGTCACTTGCCCACCGTGGCACCGACCCCCACATAGCCTATGTTTGATCAATTTAGCCTTCTCAAATCATCACGACTTGCCTAAAATAAAATTTATAGATATAAAACAGTTCAAGCATATCACAATGTTAGTTTAAATGTTTAACCTAGATAAATGTGCGCTGTTAGACTCATATCCAATCGTTTGTGCGGAGAGTGGAAGCTGAAGCTCTGCAGCACATGGAGGCGCCAGCACGATCACTTGCATTTTTTTCTAACAGTGGAAACAACTTAGAATAGGCAGTCATTTTTGTTCATAAAGGTAAGAGTAGTACGTCATTCCAAACTGTAAAGGGTCTACTTTTATTTGTCCACTCACAATATCAACCAAACGTTGTGCTTTTATAAAATAAAGAAAACAAACGCTTTCTGCCGTCTCTGGCTTGAACAGGAGCGCTTCACAATGATGAACCTAAACTCGGCGAATTGCCTCAGACATGATAATAATATATATAGAAAGCTTTAAATTACTACTTTAAAACGAAATCATTCAGTTTTATTTTATAATTCGGTACAATTTAAAAACAGCTTTTATATATATATACACATACACACACACACACACACACACATTTTACGGGTAGCTTGAATGTAAAACATTGTCATGAATTCGTTGTATTCCCATTTGAAAAACAATGAGGAGATGGCGAGTAATTTTTTTTCATCACCATAACTGATGGATGTCTAAAATATAAAAATAAGGAAAAGCCTAAAACAGGCCAGATTATAATTTGCGTTTTATTTTATAATTCGGTACAATTTAAAAACAGCTTTTATATATATATACACATACACACACACACACACACACACATTTTACGGGTAGCTTGAATGTAAAACATTGTCATGAATTCGTTGTATTCCCATTTGTAAAATAGCCAACAAATTAATTGCTGTAGGCTAACCCGATCTCATGAAAGTGCGTATAGCACGATTTTCTGCTTCTATTTTGAGTAATATTTATTTGCAGAAATTGACTTTGGCATGCAAAAGACTGATAATTTCATAATTAATGGCATGGCTGGTTCAGTCGACAGAAATACGGGACACACAGGCCTATAATAACTGCTGAAATGTTTGCGGGGCAAATCTGAGGTCAGTCTGAGTGCTCATGGTACGCACAGTGCGTACAGCCGTACACCTGCAGGCGCCACTGTTCCGTCCTATGTTCAAGGGGCTGCTGGAGAAGAAAAAAGAAAAGAAAAGAAAAAAAAACTGCTTCCCGCGCAAGGGAGAGGGACAGTCCATTAAACATATGGGGGATTTATTTTGTGTGTGTGTGTGTGTCTGATTATTATTAATTACCAGGCTGGGTTTCAGTACTTGTGGTATCTACAGATAATGTTCAATAAAATACACAAAATACACACAAACACAGGCATAAAAGACAAAAGCATAACGTAAACAGTTGGAGTTAGATTTGAACTGCAGGTGCTTGCCATACTGCTCTTATGTGGTATAGGCTATTTACAACTGACATTATAAAAAAAAAAAAAATGGCCACGAATCTAGTGCCTAAGCCAAATATTGTGTCGCCTATTTGGGTACATTTTG